GGCGCGCTCGCAATGGCAGGCTGACTAGGATGGTGGTCCCCACACCCTCTTCTGAAGCCACTCCCATGGATCCCCGCATAAGACGAACCAGGCCAGTGGACAGGAGGAACCGAACAGGATACGGGCTCCATTCCTCCTGCCCCTGCAACACCTCTCCACCGCTCTGCATCCCCTTCGTCACGCCCTGCACTGCCTCGTCACCGCTCTGCATCCCCTTTTTCCCGCTGCTGCCGCTGGCCGCACCAGTAACCCCACCGCCGCCGCCGCCGCCGCTGCTGCTGCTGCCGCTGCTGCTGCTGCCGCTGCTGTTTCTTCTGCCGTCGCCGTCGCCGCTGCTGTTGCTGCCTCTGCCGCCGCCGCCGCCGCCGCTGCTGCTGCTGCTGTTGCTGTTGCTGCTGCTGTTGCTGCCAGTGGTGGTCTGGCCGGCAGGGTCCAGAACCCAGAGCAGCTCCTGGGAGGGAATACCACACCCCGTATCCTCACACACCATCACCACCACCACTTCCTCTTCTCTCCCCACCACTCTTTGCCCTGCTGCCCTTGCTTCCCCTGCCATCGCCCGTGTTGCCCCCCCTTGTGCTCTCTCAGTCGCTCTCCCAGTCGCTCCCTCAGTCGCTCCTCCCGTCTCCTCCCCTGGTGCCAATGAAGCCCCCGCTCCTCTCCGTGTGGCCCCCGTTGACTGGCTTGACTTGGCTGACTCAGGCGATCTGTCAGGGGGGTTCGTCGGAGGCTCAAAACCTAACTCCTCCTCATCCTCCTCTGCTTCTTCATACTCATACTCCTCCTCCTCTTCTCCCTCTCTCTCGCCCCCATCTCTCTCCTCCCCTGCACTGGCGGAACCCAACTCCTCTACTCTTGCTCCAACCCCTTTCTCCACCCCCCCTCGCTCACTCCACACTTCATCCCCCGTCTCATCCCCCATAAAAGCCTCCTCGATATCGCCTCCGACCCTCCTCCCCACCCCCTCCCCCCTTTCCTCCTCCACGCCACCCCCATTACCCATCCCACTCCCACGAATACTCAAGAAACGCCCATCACCCCCACCACCACTCCTGCCAGAAAACCCAAACCAGCGTTGGAAAACACTCCAAGGAGCTGAGACGATGGGCTTCAGAACGGTGAGCAGATCCCTTCCTTCCCAGTGCTGCCCTGTGCCATTCCTCCCATCTCCCTTCCCCCTCTCTCCCCCCCTCCCTCTATCCCTCCCTCGTACCGGCCTTCTTCCACCTCCTTCACATTCTCCCCCACCTTCCCCCCCACTTACCCCCCTACCTCCCCCCCTACCTCCACCCCCACCCCTACCCTTATTACCCCACACTCTGCCCGTCACTCTGCCCCACACGCGCCTGCTCTCCCTCCCCCACCTCGTTCTACCAGAGGGAACCGTAGCAAACACCACGTTCTCCTGGAACCGACTTACAAACCTCTCCAACTGCTGGCACACCTGCTGAGCCTCAGGCGACAGAGAAACCACCTCTTTCCCCCTGCTGCCGCTGCTGCTGCCACTGACACAACCGCCGCCGGCGCCGCTGCTGCTGCTGCTGCTGTTCTCTATTCGCTGGTTCTGCAGCCGCGTTTTCAATCTCTGGGACACTATCCTTTTGAAGTGTGTGTTGCCGCGGCTGAGAGGGCATGAGGAGGGGTAGGAGGAGGGAGAGGAGGAGGAGGAGGGAGAGGCGGGTCGTTGTGCTTTCTGCTGTGCTGACGCCAGCCAGGCTGCCAGCCACGCCTGTAGTGCTGTCACCTGCTTTTGCCCTTCTTGATGCTGCAGAGGGCGGCTCATGCTGTAGGCTCCATGCTCGGTGACTGTTCCAGGTGAGGTTGCTACAGCCACCTCAGCTACTGCCGCACCTGCTACAGCCGGCTCCGCTACAGGCTCAAAACCAGAGACCGCAGCAGCAGCAGAAGCAGAGTGGGTGGCAGTGGCGGCAGCGGTGGAAGCGGGAGCAGCAGGTTTGGGAGTGGCGGTGCAGGGATGGGCGGGAAGACACCAGATGTGGAAGGCTGCATGGCCGGATAGCGTGCTCTTGATGGCGTGACCTGGGGGGGTACGGAGCATGGGGCATGGGGAAGGGAGAAGGAAGTGTGATGATATGGGAAAAGGAGAGGGGGTGCAGGGATGGGTGGGCAGGCACCAGATGTGGAAGGCTGCATGGCCGGATAGCGTGCTCTTGATGGCGTGACCTGGGGGGACAAGGGGAAGCAAGGGCAAGTGGGGGAAGGACATGTGGTAAGCAAGGGAGAGATATGTGGGAAGTGAGAGGGGATGTGAGAAGTGAAAGGAAAAGGACGTGGGTCGGGACAGTGAGGGATATTGCGGGGGGGATAACGAGGCAGGCAGTAGTGCAATATTCGTTTGAGAGGAAGGGAGAGCGCAAGCAAACAAGGTTCGGTTCAGGGAGGCACCATACTGATGACGCACCTCAGCCGCTCAAAAGGAGTGAGGTGAGAGGCACGGCACAACCCAACTCTAGTCTAAGACGTACCCAAAAGGAGTGAGGTGAGAGGCACGGCACAACCCAACTCTAGTCTAAGACGTACCCAAAAGGAGTGAGGTGAGAGGCACGGCACAACCCAACTCTAGTCTAAGACGTACCCAAAAGGAGTGAGGTGAGAGGCACGGCACAACCCAACTCTAGTCTAAGACGTACCCAAAAGGAGTGAGGTGAGAGGCACGGCACAACCCAACTCTAGTATAAGACGTACCCAAAAGGAGTGAGGTGAGAGGCACGGCACAACCCAACTCTAGTCTAAGACGTACCCAAAAGGAGTGAGGTGAGAGGCACGGCACAACCCAACTCTAGTCTAAGACGTACCCAAAAGGAGTGAGGTGAGAGGCACGGCACAACCCAACTTTAGTCTAAGACGTACCCATGAGCTCGCGCATGACTTGGGTGACTCGGGTGGGGTCACCGATTAGAATGTCCGGTACACTGGGGTCCACGTGGCAGAAAACTGGCAGAGAACGCAGAGGAACGCACAGGACAGGACAGGACAGGACAGGACAGGACAGGACAAGTGGGCGGGTGGTGTGGAAACACAATGATTTGAGAAACGAATAGACGAGAAGGAGCAAATGAACCGGGCTGCTCGAGAAGATCCCCCACTTTTGAATCTGTCTACCTTCTTCAAAAGTGCGGGATCTTGCGGAGCCTCAAAAGGAAAGAAATACCTCCATCCCGCCTCTCTCTCTCCTCACCAGCCCCTCTCGCCCCGACTCACATTCGAGGTGCCTGTCTTGAGCATCAGTGAACAGCGAGCGGGCGGCCGTCTCCAGGCACTGGTGAAGACTGAAGGGCACGGAGTCCAGCTCCAGCATATCTGCCTGCAGCTTGGCGAGGTCCAGAATCGTGCTCAGCAGCCCGATCACCGACGCAGCATACACCCGCGCGTCCACCACGTCCCTCATCTGCCACTCCTCCAGCTGCGTATCCAACAACTCGTCCATCATCCCCAGCATCCCATTAAACGGCGTGCGGAGATCATGGCTCAGGCACGCTATGCTCTCGCTTTTGGCCCGCTCGGCACGCTCCAAGAGGAGAGTGTACTCCTCCGCGGCGCTCATTTCTGCGCGGATCGCCGCGCCTTTCCGGCGGAGGACGAGAATGATTACAGAGAGGAGGGCGGAGACGAGGAGCACGAGGAGTGCGAGGAGGAGGGGCGCGTAGAGGAGCGCCCACGTGCTGCCGGGGACGAGGTGCGAGCAGTAGGCTTGGATGTGCCGCCCCACCACAGGCTCGGGGAACGGCTCGACGACGCTGTAGTTGAGGCTCGGGAAGGCGGGGTTGGGTGAGGTGAAGAGGAGGTTGGGGGGTTGCTGGGAGGAGCCGTTGGGGGCGTTGAGAGGGACGGGGTGGGCTGGTTCTGTTATGTCAAAGAGCTGGAGAGAGAAGATGTCAGAATCTGGTGGGGAGAGAGGGAAGGGGAGAAGGTGGGGGAGAGAGCAGGGACGAGGGCATGAGTCACGAGCAGCCCCACATCAGGGCTGCACCCGATGAACCCCGCCACACTCGCTTCCTCCACCTCCTTCCCTGCCCACCACCCACTACCGTACCGTGCTGCACACACATGCACCGCTCTGCACCGCGACTCACCGTTGTGCCGCACGTCCACGAGCACGTGTGACACGAGCAGCCCCATATCAGGGCTGCACCCGATGAACCCCGCCACACTCGCTTCATCCGCCTCCTTGCTGCCCGCTGCTGTGCAGTGCTGCAGTGCAGTCGCATGCACCGCTCCGTAACGCTCTGCACCGCTCTGTAACGCTCTGCACCGATCTACACCGCAACTCACCGTTGTGCAGCACGTCTACGAGGGCGTGGGAGACAAGAAGCCCCACGTCCAGCCCGCACCCGATGAAGCCCGCCACACTCGCCTCCACCTCCTCCCTGCTCGCCCCTTCCCTCACCGGCGTTCGGAACATCGGAAACGCGTACACTGGGGGGGAGATGGACAGGCGGACGGGAAAATGACAATTATATTTTTTTGGTGAGCCCTTGACAATTATTGCGGCGCCTCGCCTCCATGACTCACCAAACAAGGCCGGCCGCCAATGTCTCAACTCATCCCATCCCATCCCATCCCATACCATCCCATCCCATCCCATCCCATCCCATCCCATCCCATCCCATCCCATCCCATCCCATCCCATCCCATCCCATCCCATCCCATCCCATCCCATCCCATACCATACCATCCCATCCCATACCATCCCATCCCATCCCATCCCATCCCATCCCATCCCATCCCATCCCATCTCATCCCATCCCACCCCACCCCATCCCATCCCATCCCATCCCATCCCATCCCATCCCATCCCATCCCATCCCATCCCATCCCATCCCATCCCATCCCATCCCATCCCATCCCATCCCATCCCATCCCATCCCATCCCATCTTATCTCATCTCTTTTCATCCCATCTTATCTCCTCTCAGTATGGAGCACCAGAGAAGGCACACAAACAAACACCCACAGCGTGTCTCACGAGCTCAGCCCATCTCATTCCATCTCATTCCATCCCTTCCCCGTCTCTTCCCCGTCTCTTCCCCGTCTCTTCCCCGTCTCTTCCCAGTCTCTTCCCCGCCTCTTCCCCGTCTCTTCCCAGTCTCTTCCCCGTCTCTTCCCAGTCTCTTCCCCGTCTCTTCCCAGTCTCTTCCCCGTCTCTTCCCCGTCTCTTCCGCATCTCATCCCCAACTCTCTCAACTCACGGAATCCAAGCCGTCCATTTGGTGCAAGGACGGCGGGGGAGCTGACGGCGCGGCCTGTGGCGATCATCTGTGCCATCTGCGCGGGGAAGGCCGCGCCAAAATCCAGGCACGCGCGCAACCCGAATATTGACTTGAAGGGGAAGAAGTTGATGCTGTACCACAGGCTGGGCGGGGCGAGAGAGCCGTTGGGGGAGCGGAACTGGCAGTCTAATTGCTCCTCCACCCATGGCCTGCAGGGGTGAGGGCGGAAGAGGGAGTGGGGGAGGACAAAAGAGAGGGAAGGGGAAGAATATGACGCTGAACGCGTGTGCACACATGCACACACACGCATGCACGTGCACATGCACATGCACACACACACACACACACACACACACACACACACACACACACACACACACATGCACACATGCACGATCCACACATGCACATGCACATGCACATAAACACATATGCACACATACACATGCACGTGCACACATGCACACACACGCATGCACATGCACATGCACACGCACACACACACGCACACACACATGCACACATGCACATCCACATATGCACACATGCACATGCACGTGCACACATGCACACACGCGCATGCACATGCACATGCACACGCACACACACACGCACACACACATGCACACATGCACATCCACATATGCACACATGCACATGCACGTGCACACATGCACACACGCGCATGCACATGCACATGCACACGCACACACACATGCACACATGCACAAGCACATGCACCCACAAGCATGCTCATGCACATGCACACACACACATGAACATGCACACACACAAGCAAACAGACACACACACACCACACTCACATGAACACACACACCACACTCACATGAACACACACACACACACACACACACACACACACACACAAACACTCACACACACATGTCAACCCTAGCCGTGGGTTGACAAGTTTGATGGAAGTAAGGCCTCCGCAGCCCAGGCCTCCGCAGCCCACCTGTCCGTTACTGACACACCGGAACTGCGTTCTCAGAAATGAGTCGTCTCATCCTTGCCTCTCCCCCTGCCCACACCCGCTCCCCCACCTACCAGCACACCCACCCTCCCGCCCACCCACCCACGTGCCTCGCACCTATCTTTATCCGCGATAACGCCGCCCCAAAGCGAAGTGACCCACGGCCTGGCGAAACCGGTAACCGCACGGTGCACCTCCCACGTAACCTTATCCACGCAGCCCGAGTAGCCCCAGTACGACATGTTGCCTGGAGTCGCGCTGAACCCGTTAAATTGGTTGACCAGACCCGCCAAAATCTGATTGGTGTAACGGAAGGAGGAAGAGACAAAGGAACGGAATTTCTCAGTCTATCGCGGCGGCTCGGCTTTTGACTGCTGCATGTTTTGCTGGATTGAATGAGATCCCTCTACTTTCACTATCACACCTGCTCGGCGGTTTTCGTTGCAGTCACACACACCCACCTCCACTTGTTTCACATTCGAATCGAACTCCGCGTGCAGATACCGAACGCGCTCCGCGCACCAGTTGGTGATCGCCGTCTGTCGCGGAGCCTCGGCGGCTCGCCGCGTGTACAGCCCTATCCATACGGCCAGTGCGACCCATCCTGCGACCCATGCGACAAGTGCGACCAGGCGACCAAATCGCCGCGCAGCGCGCGACGAGCGACACGGCAAAATCATCTTTGCGGGTATGACTTAATCGTCGGACAGAAGACGCTCAGGTTCGGCCTGGAGTAAAAATAGTTCGGCGCGGAAACTAGCCGCAGCCTCGTAACGGGAACCGACGGCGACTAGTAGGCAGGGTGAGGTGCCTGTGCGATGCCGTGCGATTAGGGTAACTGCGACAAACCAGTGGTGTGCGAACGGGACGACGATGCTACTTATCCGGCGACGATTTAATGGAGCTCGAGCGGGACACGAGATGTGTCAAACAGTGCGAGCACATCAAATCAACAGGGTAAATCTATTTTACTCCGCCAGCAGGGCCGCGCCATGTTCGCCTGTCCCGCGCTACCGCCGCCGTCGGGACCACTGCTTGCTTCAAATAATAGTCCTCCTACCGCCCTCCTCGTCGGTCCCGCTAGTAGTTGTACTACCTAACTACTGTCAGGGATCCTCTTATTCTGAGCAGTCTGCTATAAAGTGGCCTACGCCCTACTAATACGAATTTCAAATAGCACAACGGCGTATGCCACCCTTACAGCTGCATCCATTGCCCTTGGCGCACTCTTTTCCTGTACTAGCCCGTGGCCCACTCTTTTCCTGTCACGGGAGAGTACGGTACTTGCGCGACAACACTCCGCTATTGGTACATGCTTTTATATATTCCTAAAATCCGCGAGCGGCGAGGACTGATAATAGTAGCTAATACGTACGGCGGGCGAAACCTAACCAAGCTATCAATAGTAACCGCATTCCGCCAACCGCGGCAGTCCGTTACTGGATCCGATTCGCATTCGCAAGAAAGCAATGAACGAAATGGCGACGCAACGACGAGTGGCATACGTCCGCAATCTTGCAACAACACCTGCATAAGGGCGACACACCCACCTCGTGAAACTTTCATGAGCAAAGCATGCACACACAAACACGAGAAAGCACGAATTAGGGTAACCAGCGCATGAAGACTTGTGGGATCGGGGCTGACTGATGCGTTCGTGCCATAACTCCTGTCTCAAGGGTCGGCGAGGGGAATGGCACTGCTCGTGCAAACAGCGTACAGGAGGGAAGGAAGGAAGGAAGGACGATTGTGCAAGGCTGATGATGATGATACCAGTTGGGAGAACTTTCATTGCATTTGGACTTGACAGCACTGCTCTAATGATCTACTGTTTCAGGCTGTCATGGTAGTCCTTCCGGGGGGTTATATTCGCAAAATCAGCACTACCCGGGGGCTCTTTAATACATGGGCAACAAATCCGGGATTCTTCGCGGTCCAACTCAACTCAACCCCTGCAAAATCAGCACCTACCCGGGGGCTCTTTAAAGCTGTGGTCTACATACCAAAGGGTATTTTCTGGGGGTATTTCGGGTGCACACCCTAAGACGCAGTCTGATTTGCACACGAAATGATCCCTTTCCAGAAATGAGAGCGCGAAGGATTCAAACACAACTGGCGAATCCCGCCAGTTTCGTGCAAGGTTTGGTTGGGGGGGTACATTTTTCGTAAGGTTGGGGTTGTGGTGGCGATTTCGCCACAACCTGCAACCAATCGAGGTTGGGGGGTAGATTGGCGCGAAATTTGTAAGCCAATCCTGAGCAGGCCAACTTTCCGAGGGGGGGTTGGGTTGTCAGAAAGCAGTAACTGCACCTCGCCACCCAAGGATGGAGCGAAGCCATGTGCTACCTGGTTTTCAAGTGATAAACCAGGTCCTCCCGCAGGAGGTATGTAGGCGACAGCTTTAATTGTTCGAGATCAACAAATGCGGTGCCTGATGTATGCTTTTGGGTCATTATGATGCTGAATCTTAGTTGTTTCTCAATCCTACGTCCCACATCAACCTCCCATTTTGAATTCTGACGTTGGTGAGCCCATAGATCTGGGCTGTTAATTGGGAACTTCGAGTCTCACAACTACTGTAAAACAATTTGGGCAGGAAATATTATTCTGCAGGTCGAAGACAGAGGTGAGGACTAGGAGTCGAAGAGAACCTTCAGCTCTGCTGCTTGGCGGCGAGCACTCCCAATGGACTTCGCCTGTCCAGACTGAGCAGAAGGGACGGGTTTGCTCGCGCCACACAACAGATGTTGTCGCAACCTGCCCGTTCTGCCACACCCGTATCAAATCTACAACACCACTTTGCACCGTCACTGTTATCTTTACACTACCTTTTGCAAACCATCCTACGCCTCTGAACGTTGTCTCACGCTGCGAAACCGTGTCACCGTTGAACGCTGGGCTTGACTGACAGGAGCACAGAAGGCCGAAAGGTCGAACTGTTCACCTCATGAATAAAGTTTTCTTTGATGGAAAAGCCCATGCTAGCTCCAAGTGGGGACAACTGCGAGAGCAAATGCGGGTGTGAAGTTCAGTGGGTGGAGAGGTAAGTGGTACTCAGAGGACGCGATTTCCGCTCCAAGATTGATGGCGTGTGCGAAGTATTTGACGTAGTTTGGACGTAGTTTTGACGTCGGAGATCGACGTCGAGTGACGTCGATCCTCTGACGTCGATTGACGTTGACTGCGGCACTTTGAACACATTGCCGGCGACGAACTGTCCACTCAAGACAAATGCCGGCCTTACTAGTAACAATTGAATTGATACTGTCGAAGAACTGAACTGGGACCAGATCCTGAAATCGCAAATGTCTTTTTTGAGTGCGTCTATTGGCTGCGAATATCTCATCACGAAATGAAAATGTTCGCCATTGTCGAGATTACGATTCATGCCAATCTGTCAATTTGTCTTACGTGGTCTGGCAAACACTGTAAAGATTCGCTCAATTTTTCTTTGGTTGACCGTTTCTGTGCCTATCATCATTGCACCCGTACAAATGGTGATGCTGGCGTCAGCAATTTTTGAAGCGTACTTTGAACACAGAAATGGCACCCCTCAGCTCACCTACCTTGCCCAACAACCTCGACGTAGCTCGACGTCGAGCTACATGCAGCACTTTGCACACGCCTGAACCCAAAATCTATCTTGGTACAAGTTCAGCTAGTCGAGCAAGCCCAGAAATTTGTGCATCGAGACCGCAGTACAGTGATTTGCTTGAACTGGTTTCTGCGTGGTGTAACGAGGTAGCACAGTGGCTGGCTTGTGGTGGTGGTTCGGCAAACTAACGACAAGGCCGTCGTCCTCGCGGCTGTTTGTCAAACCAGGGCATCCCTAAGATTTCGAAGTCTCAACTAGCTAGAGTACGTTACCCCATATCTCTGGCCTCTAACCGATTTGCACAATTAAAAAGCAGGGTCAGTACAGCATTCCACCCAGAGATAGCTCGACCCATTCACAACCCGCATTTTGAGACAATAGTTCAAGAGTGTTTGTTGTGGAACACTTGATCCAAAGATATCTTAGGACGGGACTATCTCGGCAACCCGAGGAAAAATTAGAATGCCGCCCTGAAAAGGAAGCGGTGACAAAATTGTGCGACATCTGTAACAAGAATCACCAGCCCACCAACTACATCAGGCTTGGAGTAATTCAATTGTAGGCGGAGAGCGAATGTGCAAGCAATTAGTTGTCAACACTATTTCTACAGTTGGCTTACTCCGTTACAACTACTGCAAACAGCCATAATAACTGGTTTTTATTTTTCTTCAAGCCTCCATAATTCCTCGGGGACAAAAGTGTAGCAAATGGTTCTTAATTCCAGGGTTTTATCTTTTCAAATCCATGGTGCAGCAATTTTAGGAACAGTATGGGGAAAATTTGGCAGGTGAGTAAAGGGATTTCAGCTAAAGAAAAATAAAAACATTGAAGTCTAACAAGAGGACCAACCTCTTGCCATATGTAAGGAAATTATTCTGTTCTGACTACTTCACGTTATCACTTCTGCTTCTGCGCAGGGCAGTGTTCCCGCCATTGCAACTAAACATTGTTCCATTACCACCTTTCAACATTCGACTCGACCACCGTTCCTGCCACCACTGCTGTCGCGCTAAACCTGACGGCTTGATTGATAACCCACGACCGTGTAAACCTTTATGGTTCCCAACCTCGGTATTAGGTCTGTAAGGCACCCATTTGTTCTCTCTTTACCGTTTCCTTATTATATCGCAATGTAAAGCTTAATATACATTTGTCAGCCAGGTTCAAGGCTTTACAATGTGCCTCACGGTTTTGGGGCAAAATTTCAAATTTGTTAAAAAAGATGGGCCCCTCTTTTCAAGTGTATACCAGAAGTTTAAATATGGGTCCAAGTTGTTCAATTTTATTAAGTTTAGCATTAGGTGGTGAAGGGACTGGGCAGGATAATTGATGTGTTGGGTAGGTTGAGGGCTTTGGTTTCCCCTAGCTTGTTGTCAGAATCTCAACCACTAATAACTGAGATAAAAGGGCTTGTTTGTGTAGCGGGTGAATGCGCCCATAACCCCCCAAGCCAACATACCTTGGGCGCATCTCTATGATCAATCAGGGATCTCTAGTGGACCTTTGACACCCCCCTGCATTGGGATGCCCGAGGTGCACACACCGGGATTCGAACCCGAAATCTTCACTCTGATACGATGTCAGAATTCTAGCAATTAACCACTAGGATAAAAGAGCTTGCTTGTGTAGCGAGTGAGTGCGGCCATA